AAAAAAAATAATTACTGAATTATTTAAATTTATTGATATTTTTTAAACTTGTGAGGTGCCACTTTTCAATTTTTGATTTTTAAACCTGCAAACCAAAATCCGAGTGAATGTCTCTCGGTTTGTAAATCAAAATCCCAAAGATTCAATAAAAAAACCAGCCCACCATCGGTCGATTTCTCGATCATATGTCGGTTCATCGAATTTTGCCCTACCGCTACCAGCAATTACCCGGAAAAATATTGGAGACCGTCGTTGCGTTCAGCCTTCATAGTTGGATTTGATTTTCAAACCGACGTGGAGTCTAGGCGAATTGATAAGTCTTTCTACGTCCACGTCAACTCCACCTTTCCCCTCAAATCCCATTTCCCCACCGCGTTTACTTTGAACCGTTCGCATTTCTAATTTCAACATTTCCGACCCCTCTTTGTTTCTCACAACCCAGCATCAGAAAATTTAAGGTTTCAGAAACCAAAAAAAAAACCTACCAAATCCCACTCCAGGTCACAGATTTTTCTTAGAATAAATCCCATTCCTTTTGCCATTATTGTTTCTAAATTCTGAATCTTTTTTGTTTTTTCAGACAATCCCACAATTTTCTCTGCAGGGATGTTGGAGATGTGTACTAGGAAGCTGGAGAGTTGTTTTGGATTTGGCGGAGGAGATGAGTTGTTGTGGCACATGGATTTGAAGCCACATGCTTCAGGGGATTACTCCATAGCTGTGGTGCAAGCTAACTCATCTCTGGAGGATCAGGGGCAGGTCTTTACTTCTCCTTCAGCCACCTACATCGGCGTCTACGACGGCCATGGTGGACCTGAGGCTTCCCGTTTTATCACCCAGCATTTGTTCCATTTTCTTCATAGTAAGTGCGTTTTTCTTATTTTGTTTTTTGAGTTATATTTAAGTTCAAAGCTCAATCCTTTATTCAATTATGTTAGAATTTGCATCGGAGCAAGGAGGGTTGTCGGCGGATGTGATAAGTAAGGCATTCAGTGCAACAGAGGAGGAGTTCTTGCGCTTGGTGAAGCGATTGTGGCCATCTCGGCCGGAGATTGCTTCTGTAGGTTCGTGTTGTCTTGTTGGGGCCATCAGTAATGATGATTTATATGTTGCAAACCTTGGGGACTCAAGGGCAGTGCTTGGCCGGAGAGTGGCCAGAAATCAGAGTGAGACTCAGGTGGTGGCGGAGCGGTTGTCTACCGATCATAATGTTGGCGTTGAGGAGGTGAGAAAGGAGGTTGAGGCACTCCATCCTGATGATTCACACATTGTGGTGTATAGCCGCGGAGTTTGGAGGATAAAGGGTATAATTCAGGTGAATAATCCTTGAATTTCTTTGGTTTCTTTGGTGTTTTGGATTCTAATTTCCTGATTTGCTCTATATGACGAATTGATATTTGAGTTGAATTGAATTCAATGGGCTATTTAGGTAGTTGTTGATCTGCTTTATAATCTAGTTGTCCCAAACAGCTTAACTAACTTATTTAGGCAAATACAAGTAACTAACTCATGTAGGCATTTGTTCTGATTTCCTGTAATCTCTACGGTATTACTGGCTTCCTTGCCCAATATTTGGCTTCTCCTTTTGGATCTAGCATGTGATTTTGATATTTCTTCAAATTTTGTAACATTCCAATTTGGCAACAATCTTTGAGGATTTCAATCTTTTTGCTTGCTCAAGGGTTCAATACCATGCGTTCAATACATATGCATGAGCGTTTCTCTTCAGGTCATAAAGGGAATTTGTAATTTGCAAAAAGGATGCATTTCAACCTTTAGTCCCTAATTGTATATTTAGAATCATTGCTGAAAGCCACTCTCAAGCCAAAACAAGAAAGCTTGTTTTCCAATTAAGAGTATTGATTCATGAGTATTTCAAGTTAAATTAAGGGACAAAAAGGATCATTTCAGGACTAAAGGAAGAGGAAAATATACCTTGTGTTCATGATAAGAGTCTTTTGGTCTCATTTTTTTATTCTTTATTCTATGATAGTCCTTTTTTTCCCTCATAGAAACAATTAAGTTTGTCATCTGGATTATCGTCAGTCAAAAATGATTCTGTTCCTCTCTTTTTAAAAGTTCATGAGGAAATCTTTAAAAAAATCCATTCCTCTCACGTCCATGTTTATTCTTCCTTTCTATATTGATATCATTTGGTCAATCACACATTCATTTTTCGCCTCTCTTTACGGAATATAGTTAAAGGCTGATGCTTGCAAGCTGATATAAATGCTGCGGGAATATTAAATGTATTAATTCATATTTGGATCATTCTGGTAAAGCTTTAAGGAATCACATGATGTCTGTTATAGATAAGAATGCATCTTTTTAACCGCAAATCTGATTTTGCTTTTGTGCCTGTGGCTGATAACGTATGCTCATGACTTGTCCTCTGGTATTCTAGCAATGACAGGCATCACGTGATTCTGATGCACTACGCCTTTTCTCATACCTTCCTCATTTTTAGGTCTCAAGATCAATTGGAGACATATATTTGAAGAAACCTGAATTCAACAGGGATCCTTTTTTCCAGCAGTTTGGTTCACCTGTTCCTTTAAGAAGGCCGGTGATGACTGCAGAACCATCCATATTGATTAGGAAGCTGAAACCCCATGACTTGTTTCTGATATTTGCATCAGATGGACTTTGGGAGCAATTAAGTGATCAAGCAGCAGTTGAGATAGTTCTAAAAGGCCCCCGAGTTGTAAGAGCCTCACCTTGTAACTTAATTTTCACTTCACTTTTTACTAGTGCAGGTGGCATCTAATTGGTAACAATATCCTTCTTTCACAGGGAATAGCAAAACGATTGGTGAGAGCCGCGCTTCAGGAGGCTGCAAGGAAAAGAGAAATGCGATATGATGACATAAAGAAAATTGAAAAGGGAGTAAGACGCCATTTTCATGATGACATCACTGTAATCGTGATATATCTAGACCATCCTATGGGTTCCACTAATGGCAGATTCAGAGATAACAGCCTTGGTAACTGCACTAGTGCACCTGTTGATATCTTCTCTCTAAACGCCAGAGAGGCGGATGGCGCACTTCCAAGTATTCTTTGAACAAGACCGCAAGTTCACAGCAGGGTTTTCTTTTCTAGTAAATAGAAATTAGAAATAAGTTACACACGGATAGGTGCACCCTTCTCTAGAGCATAATAGTTTTTGGAATAATATTCAGTTTAGGAAATTGTACATGGTTTTATGAATGAAGGAATGCTGTAAAGTGCGAACTTCCCTGCTCGAATAAAATTCTTTCCGGGGAAATGTGTCTGCACAATCTTTTTTTTTTTATATATATATATATTTTTTCTTTATGATATTAAGTATAGCGACATTATACGATGTAACAATCTGTTCTCTCTATTTATTGATCCAATAATTACACTGATACAGAGCATATTGCTGCTAGTGATTTTCAACATGAAACACTAACATGAACATTTTGTAGAAAGGAGAATGATTGATATATTTTTTTATTCAACACATTTTTTAAAATTAGTTCAATTTAGTCATTAACATATACGTATAGTTAATTGAATCAATTTTTATATATGTATGCATGATCGCATTTTTAAATTTATATGTTTTTAATTTTATATTAAAATAATAATTTTTTAATAAATATATTATATAATGTGTTGAATTTAATAATATACTTATCAATGTACTTATAGTAGAAAAGAAACATTCTTTAATGGAAGATGTGGAATTGATGAAGCCGGTGATGATGGATGACTTCAGGGTTCAGTCTGTCCGGTTTCTTCTCCCCCATATTGACTTGTATGTTGGGTTCTTTTTTCCACACAACTTGTAATTTTAGACAAGCACGTTGCACTTGAAGACATTGTTTGAAGCCTGGAGGCAATTTCCGGTTCTACATATATAGACCCCTTTTTTTTGGAAAAATGTAAAGAGTTTGGATGACCTAATCAACTCTTCATCTTACGCAACATGCCAACTTGCATCCGCTAAAAACATAGACACGTGGATAGAAAAGGAAATGAATAAGCCGTCTTTGTGACGCTAGTTGGCATTGTTGAACATGCGTTAATGGGGAGGGACCTGGTATTTTGATCAATAAAATTGATTTAAGGGATCTGACCGTTTGAAGCAAACTCAACATTTCGTCATTTTGGCTAAGCTCCACAGGTAAGCAGTGACTTCTTAGAGGAAATGATAATATTAGTGATTGAGAACTTTTCTACAAATCTTGTTCAACAGTTTAAATTTTTAAATAAAATGGTTTATTATAGAGTTTGTTGTTTTGTAATTTAAAATGCATCAGACTACAAAATATTAATTATTAGATAAAATATCCCATACACTATTGGAGTCTTTATCTCTTAATAGTTAATATTTTACCATTCAAATGGTAAAATATATACTTTTTTTGTTTATTATATGACCTTAATTGGGATACAAATCATGTTAGCCACCTTAATTTATTCAAAAGAATTACCTAAATGGTCAAGACATTTACATGTCACTTGTGTGCAGGCATATCCTACAATCCCAATAGGCTATGAGATTACTACAATTAATTAATCTTATGTTAATTTTAGTTTTGATTTACTGACTATTCCTTGATCAATTATAAAAAAAATCGGTAAATTAGATAAGGATTATATATTAAAAGTCTAACATTTTACTGTTTGCAATAGCTTAAATTGCAAAATACTTTTTTTTTTTTTGTATTAAACAAAGAATTATATATGCAGAATGGTCCAACCATTACACTGAGTCTGGTCTTTCAAAAAAGAAATTAGGTTAAACTTCATTAAATATAGTATTTTTAATTAATTTTGTATAAATTTTTATATTAAATTTAATTAAAATATAATATAATATTTATATTCAAATTTTGTAAAAAAATATAAATTTAATATAAAAATTTATACATAATTAATTATAAATTTTAAAATTAATAAAATTTGACATATATATATTAAAGGTCCATATTAGACAATTTTTTTTTTTTAGAAAGGCATCGTAATCTGAAGAATTATGGTGAGTGTTCTACGGGGGATAAAGTTAAAACCAATTGGTCCACCTTTTGGGCTCTTTACGTTTAAGAAAGCTTTGACAGCACGCCCTCGGGCTCCCATGGGGCGCCTCAATGTCTTTGAAGTGGACTGCACTAGAGAGTTAAAGCACAAGTGGTTAGGGAGGAGCCCTTGAAAGGACCTAGGGCATCTGTTTTTTTGGTTATTCGATTCACATTCTGACAAATTCTTTATCTCAGCATTTACATGTACAAGTTGATAACCAGAATAATATTGGTTAATAGGTGTTATTTTATAAATAAAAGTTAGAATTTAAATATTTAGATTAGTATTTATAAAAATTAAATTTTTTAATTGAGAAGTGTATCTTTAAAACTATTTAAAAAAATACTTTTGAGATATATGAAAATTGATTTTAGGATATTTGACTATAAATAAAAAAAAATTCATATAAGTTGATGTTTTTTCTCTTGTGGTTGCCTTGTCTCGATGGCATATATCTTCATGTGAAATGTTTAAACAAAGTTTTTTTCTTTTTTCTTCTTTGCCTTTTTTTTTTTTTTAAATTTTCTGGTCTTGTTTTCTTTGTCTTTTTGTTTTTTGTTTTTTTTTTTTATTATCTCGAAGAATTTGCTAACTGGATGGTAACTGGGGGAGGGGTTGTGCTTGTGAGAATCAAAGAAAATGGACTCAAAGAAAGGAGTTAGTAGTTCTTATTCTTAATTATATATAGAACCTCCAATAATGAAAATCATAATTCTTATCAATCTTCAATCATTAAATATTGTAGTGAGTGCCAATAACTATGATCGCATCTCACATATATAGGATCTAATCTTCAAGTGTTTTAACTTTTTTTAAGTTAGGGTTGATCTTACAAATTTAAGAGTCATTTCATATTCATTCCTTTTACTTTACATAAAAGGATTTGAAGAATAAATACAATCATATCATAGAAAATCAATTATTTAACATTGCATGCCTTTCAACCATTAACCTTAATTAACTTCAAATTAAAAATAATAAAAAATTTTATAATTGACACTATACCAAACTATAAAATTGTACCTTTAAAATTTAAATTTTGAATCTAATTTATAAAATGACATTTAATTACTAATAAATTTAATCTTTATTGTTAAAATTCCTCAATCTAATAAGATTTATAGTTTGAAGCTATGCCCTTATTATAACCATCGTCATAATTAGTGAAGACTAGTGGGAGGAGACTTTTTGTTTTTGTTTTTTTTTTATTTTTAAATGAAAATAAACTTAGTGGGCGGACTTTGAGAGGAATTAAAACGTCCCAATCCTTTGTCCAAGACTCTCGGCTCAGTACCGTGGGCGCTTGTCGTCGTCAAAGTGCCCCTTCGATGAAGATATTGGTGCCATGTACTGTGGGGGAATAGTTAAGTCAACATTAATTGCGACACATTTAGTCGGTTATGGATCACCACACTACCCTACCATCATTTCACACCAAAGCATCTGCACCCTAAAAATCCATCCTCCAATCCTTCGTTCTCGATCACAATACACTCTCCCACAGCCGTCCGATCCAATCACAATCCAACAAAATCAAAAAATTATCGTACACCCTCTCACACAGAGTGATACCCCCAGTAAAACTTATCTTAAAAAAATATCGTCGTATGCGGTCCTGATGACTCCCGTCAGCCCCCATAAAGAACGCACCAGTGCGCACAAGGTCTTTCCATTTACACGTCGAGGCGGAAAGCTCCGGCGAGGATATGGGGATAGTGGAGGATGCTCACAACGTGAAGGTCGTGGGGTCCGGCGAGAGAGTCATAGTCCTGGCTCACGGATTCGGCACCGACCAGTCGTTGTGGAAGCACCTGGTGCCCCACCTGGTGGATGAGTACCGCGTGGTTCTCTACGACAACATGGGCGCCGGCACCACCAACCCCGACTACTTTGATTTCGATAGGTACTCCACCCTTGAAGGATACTCACATGATTTGCTCGCAATCCTGGAGGAGCTCCAAATCGATTCCTGTATCTTTGTTGGCCACTCTGTTTCTGCCATGATTGGCGCCATCGCTTCGATCACTCGCCGTGATCTCTTCACCAAACTCATCATGATCTCCGGCTCCCCAAGGTAGAACAATCAATTTTTTCTCTAAGAAAGTTCCGGAAAGATGTATTAATTAATTCAATTATTCAATTTAGTAGCTTTCAATTCGTTAGTTACATTTGTAAGATTAATTTAATCATTAGAGTTAATTTGACCCCACTTTTTTTTTTTTTCTCTTAAATTATATTTTGAAGATATTTGAACGATGTGGATTACTATGGGGGATTTGAGCAAGAAGAGCTGGACCAACTGTTCGAAGCAATGCGGGCGAATTACAAGGCTTGGGCGTCCGGGTTCGCTCCGCTGTGCGTGGGGGGCGACATGGATTCAGTCGCGGTGCAGGAATTCAGTCGGACCCTGTTCAACATGAGGCCTGACATAGCCCTGAGTGTGGCGCAGATCATATTCCAGAGTGACATGAGGCATATCCTGGGTCTAGTCACTGCCCCCTGCCACATAATACAGAGCATGAAGGACTTGGCCGTCCCTGTGGTGGTGTCGGAGTACCTACACCAGCATCTCGGCGGGGATTCCATCGTTGAAGTCATGTCGTCGGACGGACATCTACCCCAGTTGAGTTCACCGGAAATCGTAATCCCCGTGCTCCTTAGGCACATTCGTCATGATATAGCTGTTTAATTAGTCAAGTGTTTTAATAAGCTTAATTAAGGAGTTGACAATTAGCCAATTAGGTTAATTGTCGGTAATCTTTCGTTTTAGTTGTTGCCGATCCGCCGGTGTGATTGTTTATGTCGGCCGGCGGTTTGTTTTTAGAAATTTAACTATGTCACTTTTGTGCTTTCAAGTTTCAATGTTGGCTTGGCTTTCGATGCGTTCAGTGATCGGCGGATTTGCATGTCTAACGTTCAGGACACGTGTCGAACTTAAGCAAGCAGCGTGATGGCCCGCGCCTGATTGAATCCGGTGGACGGTTCATCCGATCAGAATATCTATTTTTCAGTTGCTGATACGTAGCAAGACTTATTTATTAATCATTACTTTTATTAAAGAAAATTCAGAACACGTGTCGTTACGGCGGCCGATTTTAGTTGACCAAAGTAGAAAATGTTGTTCACATATTGTGCCACGTCACACCTTAGACAGCCAATTAACGCCAAACTTTTAACAAAAAAAAAAAAAGAAGCTATAGGTAGAATGCAACACGACGACACTATGACTTCATATTGTCATAAAAAAAATTTTAATTAATAAGTATAATTTGATTAAATTTTTATTAATTACATAATATTATAATCATAACATGAGTTTTTTAATATATGATTTTAGGGTACAAGTTAAGTATATTTTTTATTATAAATATATAAAAATATATAAAAATTAATATTAATTTTAGTATCAATATCAAATGAGTGAATTTAATTAAATAATTAATAAATTAAATATTAATTTTTTTAAATACAAATTTATGATAAAAAATATTAATACATAGTTAACTTATATCCTTAAAATAAAAATAAGGCATAAGTTAGATAAGCTCCTACCTTCATAATATAAATGAAACTTTAATATTTTTGTAAAAATTTTTCTGGGTCCCAGTCTCCAAATTGAAGGATTGAAGGTAAGCACTATTTTTGAGATTTATCTAAATAAAAATAGCAAATTGTTGTATAGCTTAGATTTTATTGAATTGGAAAATAAAAAATTTAATAAAATCATAATTTTAAAAAAATTTAATTAAGAACATAATTAACTTTTTATTAATGAAAATTATCACTCTTTAAAAATTTTTAATGAAAAATATGACATTTGTGACTGCACTAATCAAACAAGGATAGGACTGGGAACACCCACTTAATTCTCTTTTAATAAAATTACAATTTTCATATTAATTTTGATTAGTAAAGAAAAAAAATCATTTTATTAATTAAAATTTTTTTAAAAATTAATCTCTTGATAATTAAAAATTAAAATTAATAAGAAAAAATACATATAAGTTTTAACTAGTAAAAAACCTAAAATTTTAACCTTAAATTGTATCAGTTTATTTAATTAAAACTTAATTTAAATTTAAAAATTTATCTTATTAAATATTGATATTTAGATTTAAAAACTGGTTAGGTTTTTTAATTTTAAATTAAAATTTCAATTCATAAATATAACTTAGAACTCTAATTTTTTTTAAATCAACACTGATATGCATTAATTTTAAAATAATAATAAAATATATAAATATTAAAGATTCATAAATATTATTTAAACAATTTTACACACCAGATTTTTACTTTTCACTTAAAAAAATGCCAAAATGATATGATGATTTGGGCTTGGGTTATGCGGGCTTGACTCTAGCAAGCATACACATGCCCGTCAACATACAGTCATCCACCGTGCTTGTAAGCCCAATTGAATTTTGTGGTAAAAGTATCTTTCCGAGTCTTTACTCAGCAAGTCAGCAGTCTTCCGTCTTCAATGCCGTGTACCTTGGGTCCATTTGTTCTACCCAGACATGCTTCCTCTCTTCTAAATTTCTTTTTTCGTAGGATATACATAACAGATCAAAAATGTCCCATGCCATATATGATATACCTACTCAACTTGCTTTATTAAAGGATTGAGGCAAGTTCATTTACTTTACGCCCCTCTGGTCCACCGACTCTTTCCCCCCTCTTTTGCACCAACGATTTTTTTTCCACCCAACTTTACTTGTGCAACGGGAAAGCATCTCTCCCTACTAAAATGCAGTCCACATCACGTGACCAAAAATTAGTGCATGAAGTCCTATCCTCCTCTAGTATCCGTAACTCCTCCCAAAACATTAACTTATACCGTACAACATTAGATTTTTTTTTTGTAAGGCTATCATTTCATATTTT